AAAAAATGACTGCGTAAAAATAGATAAAATAATGCGAAGCTGAAGCAGTAGGCGGCGGTGTGAACAGGTACCCACCACAAGTTATCAACGGACCACCGTCTATTATCTCAATGCAGCTCACAACATCCCTATTTAGATAAGATATTTGTACATTTAATTTGCTTAATAACACGTTTAAAAAATATTGTACTTATACAATTAGTCTTTATTAAAAACTTGCTATGTACAGGTAAGAAGTTATCAATGACTGGATTATGTAACAATATTCAAAATATGCAACATTTTATATTTGTAAATAAAAATTGCTCGTTTAGCGAACGAATAGAATGTATAAAAAAGTAAAATAAATTTAATTTAATTTTTGTAAGCGAAAGTGAATTTATCTAAACTTAAATATTCAGAATTTTAACAACATATTTCTGATCTATATCAGTCTGTCACTTTATTTCTGATCATTGTTTGTATTGTGGTCCAATGTAATTACGTAGCATGTACCAGCTGAAATAATATGCCACTATAACAGACGAATAAATTCCTATTATAACGGTTTGTTTATTGCTTTATAATAAATAAAAGTACGTAATAAGTAGGTATAGGTATGTACCAAAGCTAGAAATGAAATAGTGCAAAATATTTTATTAGTTTTTTATATACTTATATTATAGAGAATAGTGGTTTGCAAGTAGCAATTTATTCATAGCCATCACATTGGGATTCATCAGTTGTGTAGCCACAAGAATGCAGTTCTGACCACAACACCTGGAAAGGGAATCTTCGAACCAGTTTTATAGAGGCTTCAGAACGGGTGGAACAGTGTCTCGCCTTCGAGGTGTAGTACTTGATATATGAAAAATTTTACTTTCTATGAGATAAAAGTAAAAGTCTTTTATGTATGGTTACCAACTTACTTTTTTTAATAATTATGATATAGGTTGTGTATAATTTTATTTTTATATCCTTATTTTCAATACTTTCCTATCTTTTTTTTGTTATGCTTCATTCATTACAAAAGGATAGGATATTGAATTCATCAATCGATTGCTTTTTCATAAATAAATTTAGTACGTTATAAAATCTCTTTGTCCTATAGGTGACTCGAAAAAAAGTGTATTAAGTTCAGCCATGTTGTTTAACATTACGCATTAAAGTTTTACTATTTAAATAAAGTAAGAAAGGAAAACGGGCTAGTCCAACAATATCATCAACAATATTGTTCCTCGTATGGTAGTTGCAGTATATTTTTATTGGAGATACCGGTTTATTTCCCATAACATGTACACAAACAAATTGGTTTGTAGCAGCAAGGACGATATTCAAGATAATGTATTTAAACTCGCTCAGTGCACTTGTTATATCTTATTTGTAACCTGGAGATGTAATTATTTGTGTCGATGAACCAACGACGGGGTATCGATTTTTCTTGGAGGTTGGCTGGTTATTCACTTGTGACCTTTAGAAAAATGCCCGCGGTTTCGTTGAGATGCCTTGAACGTTTTGATGAGCCCTTGATGACCATTCCAGCCAATTTACGCATTATTATAATACCTGTGTTGGTAGCTTAGTTGATAGTATGACTCTGAGTAATACTAATAATACACTTTGCACGTTTAATAGTAACTTTAATAAAAATACAAAGAACGGGAACAAAACTATATATACTTATAATTGAAAATTTAATTAGAATTTTCAGATATCGTTTTTTATAGGTACATGTGCACATACGACATATATTATGCAATGTAATGAACAAAAAAGTACCATTATTTCTATTACCTGCTTGATTTAATACTCACCGCAAGTATTAGGCAAAGAAGATAAGAAAGAAATTTTAACGTACTTTTTAGAGTTTCAGTATAAAATCTAAATTCTTTGTACGTACGGTGAAATTCCCACAATCATACTCCTTAAGGGATTAATAGTTAATGTATTAACACATTTGTACTATCTACTATATTTTTAACACCTAATTAGTAAGTGTGTGGGTTGAAAATAACTACGTATTGTACATAGCTATATATCCATCATCAGGTATAGTTCCACGCTTACACCTAACCATTGGTTTAGATATCATCTGTTAAGTTTTTGCCAGACCATGGATAATAATACCCACTAACTACATAGTCACGCGAGCTACGAAGGGTCGAAATAATTACGCGATTGTCTTTTGTAAACAATTTGTTTCTCAGTGGATGGACTAGAAATAAAAAAAACATAGGTATAGATGTATAAGTAAAATATAAACTTGCTATATATATTTTTATTCTATACTTAGTTAAAATAATTGAATTATGAATCACAAAATTACACGACGTCTGCAGCAACAGATTTTCAATAATTCCAATTTCTCCATACTTTCTAATCTTCACAGTCATTGTTTATGACGAACTATCATTTCAGCATTATTTTGGTTTGAGGTTTTCATGTTACCATTAGCCACTTCTAACGTAACGAATGCACTTTATATCAAATGACGACAAGTAAAAAATATTATATGAAATAAATATTTTTGAATAACTTATCAAGCTTTGCTCTCTTATAACAACTTACCTTACTTATTTACTGCTCTAAAAATTATAAATAGGAATTGTAGTTTCATTAGTTATACCATATGATTAGGTGTATCGAATATAAGGTAAACATTTTGCTTTTATAAAATGTTAACTGTAATTGTGTGCTATCTTTAAGCCTACTAATTTCTATATTTTATTATCATATTACTATTATGGCACCTCCTAAGGTAACAATACATACTTACATATTCATGTAATTGGAATTACACAGAAACTGACTCCCCTGTTGATGGTAAGTGGTATCACTATAGTCGCTTCACCTATAGACATGTACCTACAACTATACATATACTATACATACATGGACATCACATCATTTTGTGACGCCTGCGATACCAATTACATATATGCGTTGTCTCGCCGGAGGACTAATATGTTATGCTATCCTTCAATCGATAACAATTTACAAAGTAAGTTGTTCAATGCTTGAAATAGGCGAGACTATGGTATCCACTTAGACGACTTTTTACAAAGTCTACCTGAACATAGTATTTTATAAAAGATACTGTTGTATGTCCTTTATATCTAGAAAGAGACGTTGCGTTTTATCATCACCCTAGGTACTATTACAGTTTGTACGTAGGTAACTAGGCCTTTCTTGTTTGCCCTTTTTATATTTTTAAGATTAATAACCACAGATATGGATATTTATAGATGTTGCAACTGTATGCACTTTGCGTGTGAGTACCTGCGAATAAATTAATTTCTACTACATTGACTACATTTCAATTAGATGCTAATTCTGAGTTTCTTTATAGACAATTACAATAAAAAAATGAATAATATATGTATAATTTATTATTCATTTTTATATATAGGTATTATTTACTCAGTGAATTTTACTCCATCAACAACTGCTAAATTCATTCATTCATATAATCCTATCTTGCTAATCTAGCGCCATTTTAGAAGGGTTTTAAACTGTTATTTATATCTTATTAAGCTTAAGGTACTGAGTCTCGACACTTTTGTTACGGTTTCTCCATAAAAGTATTCACATGAGTTCTCCTTACCTCTACATTTTACATCAAGTGGTTCAGTAGTGTATTTTTTTTTTCACACAAACTTAGGTCCTGCCTCATCTACATAGAATACATTCGTAGTCGCGCTAGTAGTCATATATAAATAAAAATAGACTTATTTGTGCACGTAGTAATTGGAATTGATACACGATTAACAAGTCCAGTATATATTCTGTTCCCATTATTTATGGGTGCCTATTTTTAGTAACAAAATAACAAGCTCAGACCAGTACCCATTTGAGTTATATAGCGGCGTGCAATGGTTTTAAAAATGCAATGGTGTTAAGAGAGACCTATAAATATAGCAGACCGTCCGATATCATCGGTGCATCTGCTTTGTAACTACTTTTTTAGTTTAATAATAGTGTAGTGAAATTGTTCTTGAATCGAACAATAGCTTATTTTTCAATGCATCTTTGGTAACAGAATATATAATAATAATATGAAAAACGAAATTTTATGTTACGAATACGATAATGTAATATACCTTTTCACTTGCGTAATGATAAAGGTCAATTGCGGTCAATAACATTGAATTGCTCATGACCTGCACTACATTACACGATGTTTGTTATCTGATACTATAATGATATCACCAGGAAATGTTCATGAAAATGGTTTCAGATGAATGAACTTATTCTTTATTAGATTGTGCTCCGTAGGCAAATAACTATCACTCGCTAACATAATTTAGAATTTACTTTCTTTTATATTTTGCAAGACTGTTATTGAACAGGAATACACTATTATCCTACTAATATTATAAGTGTGCAAGTTGCATGTTTAGAAAATAAAAATCCGCACACAGGTAGGTCATATATTTTTTAAGGAGAATATATTGATTAACCATAAAAAGGGACATATGTCAGTCTTCAAACCCAATGCTGCCTGTTTGTATACCAAAATTCGTGACTATCTTTCTAATAATTATTAGATTAGTACTAGTAGAACTAGTAGATTATTTAAGTATATATAACGATATTCCTATTCCTACCTATTTAAATGAAGACTTGAAATAACCCTATTATCATATTAGATATTATTAAGGCTCTGCAGTTTCTATATTATATGTTTCTTTTAATAGGATATATTGAAACTTATTCCATCATCAACCAGAATATTACTTTTGTCTAATGAATTTCCATTGCTTATATTGAGTTTTATCCAAATATAATCTTATCACGTTGCATTGTACAGCTTTGTTTTCTATCTTTGCCAAGATCGTAGTTTCAAAATAGGCTTATTTTACTACATATGCATGCATACATGATCTTGACCCTATTTATTACACTGTTAGGTACTTGTATTGTATTTGTGTAAATATAACTTTTGAATGACTATCTATGAATTGTAATTCTGGTATATAGGTCTTCGTATTTTTAATTTATTTTGTGTAATTTTTTTACAGATGCTGGGCGCAGGAACCTAAACAATGTGTATATTATAGAAGAAACATTATATATTAGAATAAAAGCATTTGCTTAATTTAAAAATGGAATTACGCGCCATAAAGCTCAGCCTGTCCTTTTTGCTCATTATACTGGCTAGTGGAGCAAGCAAAGAGAATGATAGTGGTGAGTCATTATTTCTATGTTGTGTTAATATTTCATTGAGCAGGTCATTTTCACCATCATTTGTCACCTTTTACATAACCAATTATTAATCTGCGCATCATTAGCGGAGCGTATAGTCTATTTCTTATTAGTACCAATTCATCTGTTATACACGAAATCCTTAGTAACTATCCTACCAAGTTTTTGTCATTCCATTGTTGGGCATAGAGCTATCCTAATATGAGGGGAACTCTAAAACCTCTAGCCTAAGAAAAAGCATCGTACCAAAATACCCTGAATTACAGGGACTTTGATAAGGTGCTTTTTTGTTTATTTCTAGATTATTTTAGATAGAAAAAATAACATACAAAGTCGGCAATAGGAACTATCTGAGCTGTTGCTCTCTAATACTCTATGTAACTGGACCGCTTTGAGAAAAGAAAACTTTTAATAGTACTTGTATATAGATGTGAGTTTCTGCTTTCATATATCTGCGAACATTACAAATAGATATTTGTATACTTCAGTAACAGAAGAAGTTCGTAAACCACGATCTAGCAGGAGGGTGGTGAAGCTGTATTCTGGAACAAGACCCGAACCATTTGTATGTCAAAATGAAGGTTTTCATGCCGACCCTATCGACTGCACGGTTTTCTATCGTTGTATGATAGCTGGAAGAGGGAAATATACGGTATTCAGGGTGAGTATCATCATATACGTAATAATAAATAACAATGTGTAGCCGAAACTACAGATCCGATTTTGAAAATTCATTTAGAGTTGAATAACCCATTAACGAAGAACGCTATAGGCTATGTAACCTCACCATGCTTCCTATTGAAGCAGAGCTGTGTTTCATGATTATTTGAGTAGATAGCATGACGATCTGCATACCAAATTAAAATCAGGGGCAGTAATGGAGCAGTGGCTTGGATAACTTCCTACATTGTCTCGGTGAAACGAAATAGAGACAGATTTCTCATAATGTGCTCAGTCAATTTTATCCTCCAGATACTAGCTGATGATTAGCTAATAATTTATATTTACACTAAGTATATTCATTTAATGCATTACATTTACACGTCAGTATGTTTTTTTTTTTCAATATGTAATTAACTAATATTTATTTCTCATTTCAGTTCCAATGTGCACCAGGAACTGTATATGATCCAGATACAGAAGTGTGTAATCATCCTCAAAGCACAAAACGAATTCATTGTGGAGGCAAAACTATTACAACAATAGAACCTACATTTGGAAATGAAATTGATGCGATACATTACGAAGTTCCTTCCCCAATAAGTACCAAGCAACCTATATATATTGAAAAAGTTAAAAACGAAACAGCATCTGCTTTCTCAACTACGACTAAATTTGAATCCATTGCCTTATCTTCTACAAAATATCCATTAATATTATTTACAAAGCCCGACAATTCACCTTCACAAACGGCTTCATGGACTTCTTCTACAAAACATCGAGACTCACATATAAATAGCGGAAACTCAACTAAAAGATTTACTGAGTCCTCCATAGTATATTCACACACTACTACAAAAAGCCATAGACCTACACTAATTGTTAATCAGCAGTCAAAATTAAAAAATAATGACATATGCGATTCTGATGGTTTTATAGGAGATAGTGAAAACTGCCGAAAATTTTACAGATGTGTAAATAATCAAAGAGGAGGGTTCATTAAATATGATTTCCTATGCAGTGAGTCGACTATATGGGATGACAATATAAAAGCTTGCAATCATGCATGGGCTGTTAAACGCCGGCGGTGTGGACGTGAAAATTATCATGATAACGATGATGTAAATGTTAAACTTACTACACCATACGAAAAGAAGACGGACGAGGAACAAAATATAATAGAAAAAAATGAAAGTGCCAATTTTGGTATGAGAACAACAGAAAGTTATAATTCAAACGCGAGTCAAAATGTACCAGTTCAATTAACTAATACATTACCTGTAAGTAATAAAACTATCCAAAACCAAGATAGAGACTACTCCAAACAGCACACTGCCACATTTTCTTTGCAAAAATATGGTAATGCTTATCAAGGTTACAATACAAATAGTACGAAAGTTAATACCATGTCATCTTCCCAGGGTTGTACTAAAAGTGGCTTTATAAGAGATCATAATGATTGCAGGAAATTTTATCAATGTATTGACAATGGAAAAGGAAGTTATTCTAAACATGAATTTGTATGTGGTGAAGGAACTGCATGGGATCCAAAAATAGGAAGTTGTAATCATGCATGGGCAGTTGAAGATTGTGGGACTAATATATTCGAAATTATAACTCGAGATCACAATGCAACTTATACTACATTTGGAAACAAAAAGAATACACCGAGAGAAAGTGTTACAACGCATCGTACTTCAAAATTTACTCAAACTTTTGATTCAACTATAGGACCTACAGCAACTGAAATAAAAAATGTGGGATATGAAAGTCACTCTACTTCATTTATGCCAAGTAACTTATCACATTATACGATATCTACCACAGCAGCTTCTAGAAACAGAGGTAATAATTGTAAAAGTAGTGGGTTTATAGGAGATGAAAATGATTGTAAGAAATTCTATAGATGTGTAGATAACGGTCAAGGTGGCTACATACGGTATGAATTCACTTGCGGAGAAGGTACAGTTTGGGATTCTAAGATTGAAGCATGCAACCATGCTTGGGCTGTTGAAAGATGTGGTGCAACTGACATTAATATTGAAGATAAAATTGAAACAACTACACTAAAGGAATCGATATCATCTACATCAAATATTAATTTAACATCAGAAGATCAAAACTATCCCGATGATTATGATTCAGGATATGGATCTCAAAACAACAAGCCTGTGACTACAACAACTATTGGTACAGTAATTATATCATCAGAAAACCCTACAGTTGAAAGTAATATATGTTCACATAATGGTTTCATAGGTGACAAAAATGATTGCAAAAAATTCTACAGATGTGTAGATGATGGTAAAGGAAAATATATACGTTATGATTTTACTTGTGGGGAAGGTACGGTGTGGGATTCTAAAATAGAAGCATGTAACCATGCTTGGGCAGTAGAAAGTTGTGGTAATATGGAAAATATTCCACATACTACTGCAATTTCTAAGCCTTTGAATGATGAAGACATAGACAACAGTCCTTTGCACAATAATGAAGTAACTGATAGAACAACAGAAAGTATTCAATATACCACAACTAGTAAACCTCTTGCGTCGGAAAATATATGTTCAAGAGAAGGATTTTATGGTAATTCCAATGATTGTAAAAAGTTTTATAGATGTGTTGATAACCAAAAAGGAGGCTATATTAAGTATGAGTTTACTTGTGGAGAAGGCACTGTATGGGATTCCGAAACTAATAGTTGTAATCATGCCCATACAAGCTCCTGTAAAACAAGTATTAATTCTGACAATTTAGAAACATCATCGATGAATACATTAACGGAAAGCACACAATCGCAAAGTGATCTGAGCTCTCAACCGTCAAGTACGACTACTACTACCAAAGCCCCAATTTCAACTGTTTGTTCTCAGGAAGGCTTTATTGGAGATGCAAATGATTGTAAGAAGTTCTACAGGTGTGTTAACAATGGACATGGAGGATATATTAAATACGAATTCATTTGTGGTGATGGTACTATTTGGGATAATGAAATACAAGCATGTAATCATGATTCATTTAAAAGTCATTGTCATATAAATAGTAACGCATCTACTGTATCAAATAATAATGAAATGAATATAGAAAGTGATGCCATAGAATCTACATCAACGGAATATCATTTACCAGAATCAACTGAACAAGATCATCCTACAGAAACATCCAAAAATACATGTACAATTGAAGGGTTTCATGGAAATTCTAACAATTGTAAAATGTTTTACAGGTGTGTAGACGATGGTAAAGGTGGTTATATAAAATATGATTTTACTTGTGGAGAAGGCACTATATGGGATCAAAAAATACAATCATGTAATCACGAATCCACTGACAATACATGTACAAATAAAGTAATTGAGGGATCAACTCAAGGTGCTGTAATTCAAACAGAAACTAGTAATAACACTGATGCTACTTCTAAACCTTTTGATAGTCATACTACTGAAAAACAAGAACTGTCCGAACCAAATGAAAAAGATCAGTGTACGTCGGAAGGTTTCTTTGCAGATTCTAAAAATTGCAAAAGATTTTATCGTTGTGTAGGTAATGGCAAAGGAAGTTACACCAAGTATGACTTTTCGTGTGCTGAAGGTACAGTATGGGTTCAAGAAATACAAGCGTGTGACCATGATGATAACTCTGAAAGTTGTCTATCACAAAAGCAAACAACTACAAGTATGAGTACATCGCATATGCAACAGTCGACAACAACGGAAACGTCTGACACTGTATATAGACCAGATAAACAAGATGACGAATATTCAAATAACGATTCTAGCAGCTCAGATTCTGATTGTTCATCTGAAGGTTTCCATCCTAATAAGAATGATTGCAAGTACTTTTATAGATGTGTTGATAATGGAAATGGAGGATATACAAGATATGATTTTAAATGTGGAGAAGGTACGGCATGGGACTCAGATCTTCAAACTTGTAATCATATAAAAGACGTGGAAAATTGCGAAAATTCTAGTCAAGAAAATTCTTTAATGGATGAAAATTCATCTTCAACTACAGATAACACGAATTATAATAATACTACAGAAACTTCGAAACCTATTGCTAAAGACAAATGTGAAAATGAAGGGTACTTTGGAAATTCTCAAGATTGTTCGAAGTTCTATAGATGTGTTGAGAATGGAAAAGGTGGGTATACAAAATATGATTATTCTTGTGGTGAAGGCACTATATGGGATCAAGATATCTTAACTTGTAATCATCCTCAAGATGTAGAAAATCCATCTTGTACAGATAAAGAAAATGAAACTGTAATAACAACTGACTCGTCCAACACTATGACATCTTCGACATCGTCTCAAACGGAGGCAAGTACTACTACAAGCTCTCAACAAAATGATTCGAATTGTACGCAAGAAAGTTCTACGAAACCTGGAAATCAAAATATTACATGCGAAAAAGCCGGGTATTATCCGAATCCCAACGATTGTAAAAAGTTTTATAGATGTGTTGACTGGGATGGAAATGGCCAGCGATTTTCAGTATATCACTTTGATTGTGGTGATGGTACAATATGGGATCCCCAATTGGAGACATGTAATTACGAAGAATCCGTATATCCTCCACGTGATTGTACGGGAGTTCAATCACAAAATGAAAATTCTGGTGAATCAACTACTCAAAAAGAAGTTTCTACTACAAATACAGATGATTCTACGCAATCATCTACAACAGAATCGCCCACTTCTACTACTAGTGAGCAAACTACAACTCAACAGCCAGTAACAACAGAACAATCAACCACATCCAAGCAAACGACATCTCAAGAGACAACTACAACAGAACAAACAACAACTAAGCAATCAACTACTACTGAGCAAACAACATCTGAACAAACAACTACAACCGAACAAACAACTACAACAGAACAAACAACTACAACAGAACAAACTACGACAACAGAACAAACAACCTCCCAATCAACAACTACTCAAGTAACTACAACGAGCGATAAAACAACTCAATTATCGTCTTCTGAACAAACAAGTGAAGCAACGACTGAGCAAACTACAACAGAAGAAACAAGTGACCAATCTACTACTAGTGAACAAACCACATCGCAGCAATCTACAACTGAAGGTAGTCAGGAAACTACCGATAACCAACAGTCAACCAATACGGAAGAAACAACAACACAGCAATCCAGTACGACTGAAACAAATCCTACAGATAGTGGAACAAGTACAGAAGAGACAACATCTGAACAACAATCCACAACGACAGAGCAGTCAGAAAGTAGTACTGATGGAAGTTCTACAACAGAAGAAAATTCAAGTTCTTTGAATAAATGTCCTGAGACCGATGATGATCAGTATCTATATGTTTGTCCGACGTCATTCAAAAGACATCCTAAATACTGTAATATGTTCTATCAATGTACAGAAGACGATGATAGTCATGATCTAAAAATTGCTGTATTTACTTGTCCGAACAATACTATTTATGATGAAGATCAAGTTCAATGCGTTGAAGAAAATAAGACTGATGATAAATGTGATGGAGAAATAGCTCAAAGAAGAAGAGTAAGACGCCTAAACAAGTATTATAAGGAACCGGTAAGATAATATATAATAAACTTCAAATATAATGAAAAACCAAGTTGTCCAGGATACCAGATTAAACAGCGGCGACAAATAAAGTACAAAATACCAATTTCTATTTTCTCTAAATAAAATAAGACTATTTGAAAGCATTCTTTCTATAACTATTTTATAAATATAATTTATTGCGAGCGATTTAATATTCTTTCAAACTCTGTCTAAAAGAAATGAATTTATGACAATTTGGTTTTTACAACACATAAATGGTGATATTTTATACGTTTTTAATGAGACATATTTATGAATATTGTATTTTACAGATCGTGGCTACGAGAGGAAAATTCTCATGTTCCAATGTTGGTTATTATCCCTTTGAGAAAAACGTAGAATGTTCTCCGGCTTTTCTTAAGTGTCAAAGAATAAAAACAGGCATCTTAAGAGGCTACGTGCACAAATGTCCTGAAGGATATTATTACTGGTCCATCAGTAAAAGGTGTGAGAGGAAAATCAATTTGAAAGGTTGTAAATCTTCTGCTAACGATTGGAATGATAGATGGGAAATTCCAATCGAAAGAAAAAATATTGCGACTTGAGATATAAGAGATTTAAAATTAAACGTGCAATATTAAAATTGACATATACATCCATAAGTATACCCTCAATAGTACACTCACTAGAATGTGGACAGCTGAAAAAATACATAGATTTATAATTTGATAAAATATTACGAGTATAATAGACATACTTTACTGAAAATATGTCAGTAGGTATATAGGTAGGTACTTAACTAGTATAATTGAATATTAACGTAATTTACTTTACTACTATGTCTAGTCTTGATTACAACATTAGTTTATAAATGTGACAATAACAATGCGCCATAATTATAACTTGTGAACAAAATATTGTATATTATTTTTCACATTATTTTGAGCACGACTTCAATGATATTTGGGAATAAATTATTACCACAATGATTTTTTTATTTATTTCACATATCCATTATAATAATAGTAAAAATAAATAAACAAACAATAGTATAATATACTATATATTATAACTAAGTATGTAATATAATATAGGTAGTATAATAACTACTATGAAAGAATAGTAACAGCAAATACAGGAATATTTACAGTAAAATAACATCAATACCATTACACTTCGATAAAAGCCCTTTACAAAACAAAGATAATTCTTGTATTAAAAAATCTGTGACTGTTTTATCTTGAGTACGACGATTGACGTTATTAAAAATTGTTCCTAAGAAAGCGTGGCAAGGTATTTTTGTAGCAATTATATTTCCTTTGAGATCAAATGTCAACTCTTCTGCATTACTTTTAGGAGTTTTTGTAATGTTAACTGTGCCAATATTATGGTCGTTAGCTGGTATAATAATTGGTCTATAATAATTATCAACAGAATCGGTTGAGTTGGTATTATTTTTGATCATACTCGCATTATTATTCTCAGAAATAATTATGCTTTTTCGTTTTCTTGGTATTACCAGTTTTGAAATATTTAGATCCTTCCTCTTGTTGTCCGTAGTTACATCGTTAAATAAGAATTTAAAAAATAACGGTAAAAGACCGGAACTTATATCAGTTATATTAGTGTTATTTATTTTCTGATATCCTTCAACATTGGTTAAAATATTTTTTGATTCAGCCATTGTTAAAGGTTCATATTTATCTGATATGTTTACTGATAGTATATTTTTTATTTCATTGATGTTTAACATATTAGTAGTATTCTTGGGGTCTAATTGCGCCTTATAAGATAAATTTTGTTTACTGCTTACATCAATAATATTATTATTATTTGCTTCATTGACACTATAATATCGATTATATGGAAAATTCTCATTGTGTTCTATTTCTTCGATTATATCTTGAATGTTATTTACTTTCTTTGTATGTTTTTTAGTATGTGCTTTCTTTTCGTTGTTTATATTTATTTTCGTCACATGTTCCTTTGTATGCTTTCTTCCATACTTTACAAGTATATTATGAACTTTCTCACCATAAATATAATGAGGAGTTTGAGGCGTCAACACTGTTGGATTGAACGCTATTCCACCTTTATCCCAAATAGATATAGCTCTAATTAAAAATTCAATAAATTGTATTGGTATATCTTTCCAATATTTTCTTAGCGGTGAATTATCCATATATTTCGATAAGGTTGTTTGTTCAATCACAATATTATTAGCATATATATTAGGTTTAATATCAGATTCGTTCCAAAGAAAGTTTAGGGCTGTTTCATTATTTTCTTCAGCACTAAGTGTATTATTATTAGTATCATTGAAAACTATAATAAGATGATATTTAAATTCGTAATATTTACTAGATATTATTTCTATATATGGTAGAAATGTATTTATATCAATGTTATCATGTGGATTAATTAACAAGTGCATAAATACATTAGGGTATGATGTATCCTTACTCAATGAAGCTTTTATCACTTTATTGTTTGTCATAATTTTAGGACGTAGTGCAGAAACAGATTCTGATGGCAGTAAGGCAAATGCCACGAAACCGTTATATATTATAAAGATAGTAATTACAATCATGCCTAATCCGATCCACCAATATACGAATGCTGTAGACCAATAACCTGTAACAAACAAGGTAATTATTCCATTCCATTCATGTTAAGTTAATAAAACAAATTGTAAAAGGCTTGCTTTTGATTTATGTGAACATAAAAATTTCTTTTATTTCAAAGGTGTAGGATATATTTGAAGTAAAAGAAAAGTTGATGATGCGACCTCTTCAATTGTATCCCAATGTGGCAAATACAGAAGATCTAGTCGTTGGAAATGATGAGGATGAAGTAAAAAAAAAATTGCATGTAAAATGTTATATACTATATATGTCACATAAAAAACTCACGATATAATTTAATAAATGCTTAAATATTTGGTAATATATAACTTATAAAAAATTATATTACGTACTTGCTAATACCACACAAATAATTATAATTCTGGTTACTTGACACTATATGTTTTGAACAAATCTTTTAAAAATCTTCTGAAGATGGAAGAGCTCGCTTATTCTATCCCCCTTTTCTACAAGAAGATACATCTGCCCAATTGTCGGCTACAGTTAAGAACTTAACTTGATGTTTTCATATAATTTATTTTTATATAAAATAATTTATATAAAAATAATGACTTACTTGGCCACCGTCTGAAGATTGTAGTCGCGCCTTTTAACTTACTCTTCGATCGATGCTTTAGAACCATAGGTTTATATAGTCTTGGGAAGTGTGGATTGTATCGATCTTCATCGGAGAAGTCTTCATTTAACAATGGATGTTTCTCCCGATACGCGTCAATCATACCTGGCCACAGCAAAATAACTTATCACTTTAAGTACAACCGAAAGCAAGGTAAAAGTAATGTGCTTTTGTAGCTAATAAATGTTATCGAAATGAAAATTTGTTTAATTTTAAATGGAGAATCGTCAAATGTTGGTTTTTTGCAATTAATTTTTATGAAGGTAATGTCATAATGACCGGTATATTTTTTTTAAATATAATAAATATCATATAAAAAATTATTCTACATATTATTTTTAAATATCATACTACGTATTCATGCTCTATTTTCAAAAATGCAATAATAAGGAGTGAGTTGGGGTTGGATATTTTATATGTGTACATATGTATCAATTACATAGTAGGATAGTAGTACATATAGGTCCAAATTGAATACTGGAAATCGTAATGACAGATAAGTAATTTTCTGTGCTTATTTTATACTAACTACTCTTGAATCACTCTATCTATTAAAAAAAAAACACTACAAAATCCGTTGCGTAGTTTTAAAGATTTAAGCATACATAGGGACAGACAGCGATAGCGACTATATTTTATACTATGTACCTAATGATTCACAGAAGATTAAATATTTTATGCTGAACATTTATTTATAAGAGCAATACGCGAGTCCCCCCTTGTCCTTCTTGTAAATAGTTTATTATCTACGAATAAGCGGCAGAATTAAAAAAATAGCCTTTAAAAATGCTTACATTGACCTTATTTAAATAAAGTTTATTTCTATTTACATCTACAATCTTTATTCAAATCGCTTTTAAATGATTCAATTATTGAGCGTCGATTATTATTTATTATTATCAGATAAAATCAGTAATAATGTTTGATATGATATACCCACGATTTATACAAAATAAAATAATTGCGTACCTCTAGCGATATGTTCTTTCTAACACAAAAAATATCACATTATTGTGTCAGATGTTAAAATACAATAAAACTAATACTGTATCAATACGAAGTGCAATCAATATAAAATCGTGTTTCATTTGAGAAATTGGCACGTACACTTTCCGGTATAATAATGTTGATTCAACAACTGATTCGTCTCACGTACTGACGACTTACTATTACTTTTATTATTAAAATTGCTGAATTAGAGTAAATTATGATGACAAGCTGTAGCACATTTGTCACGACTTCTTTCAGCGAGTTTCCGCGTGACAGGCGTTTACCTACTAGGATATATTTCTTTACATATATTAAAAAACGGAATATTTCATTAGAAAGACAAAAAGATAAATACAAATAATTTTGTAATAAACAGATGTATCAAATGAGAGTTCAAATTAAGTATTTGTTTAGTAGAATTCTTAATAAATGAAACGTGTATTAAACACGCTTAATTTATTAAGAATTATATTTATATAGCTACTTTGTTACGTCAGTCTGATTTCATAATTTTACAAAAAGTTGTACATCCTTTTTAAATAATCTTTTTTAACATATGGTTAATATTGAATGTCAAATTTAAAATTGGAATTGTTGCAAAATTTATGGCATTTCATTGTTAAGACGTGGATTTAATTATTTAAAAAATACAAACAAATTACAAATTGTAAAATAAAGTGCATAGGTTAGTTCATGTTAGTTATATACGTAGTAATTACCTACATATAAACAAAACTCAATTTTGAATGTTGTAGTATACTTTTGCTATACGTAAAAACACCAGTCAATTAGTATATAAGTTGTACATACATGTGTGCTGTGATTTAATACCAATTATTGCATACAAATATTAGGTGTAATGAAAAAGGGATCTGGGTGCATAAATAATTCTTAAATATCGGATTTCGGTTTTGTTTACAATTGTGGATTAATAACAATTTTGTATAGGAACATATGATGGTGGAGCATGCTCCACAAGTCAAGCACGATGAGCAGTTTCCTTTACTGAAGGTGGACAGCGGTGGCGGTGATGGCACTATAAACCAAGCACCAACTGTAGTCGCTCCAGGATGGAATGTCACTCGCTCCTCCAAACGATCATGGCTCGACCGCTGGCCCGGTTAGATTATGACTTAATCGTAATATGTACTTTTTAATTTAAGGAAAAACATATAAAGAACTATGTAAAAACCGATTATATTGGTTTTGAAGAACTAAGATTATCCTTTAATTGTATCTACTATTCTTCAACAGAAACAAATATTACAAGCTTAAGCTTACAAGCAGGTAAAGTAGATGTGACTTTGTTATTGTGATTAAGATTTGTACAAAGTCTATCGTAATGCAAGGGAATTACAAGGTAAACAATAAACCCGTCGAAAAGTAATAGTAGTCACATTGTTACATAATTTGAGCTATTGTCCCAATCTTCCTGTAGGTATTATCAATCCAACCAGAGAGGACATACATTATTTTTATGTTAAAATTTCTGACATTGCAGAGTTCGTCTCGGCTTTGTGGATGACTGGCATTCTATTAGGAATATCTTTGCTGGTGATGTACGCTTTGAGTACAGGATTGATCCGAAAGCAGCCCATCATAATACTTAACTGTAACGATACCACGAAACCTACTAGCCATGTATACTATCATCACATAGGTCAACTTGGAGGTTTCATACCATTTCTACAGTACTCAAGATACTTAGCTGATATGGCAACTCAATATCCATTTCTAAATTTTCACGTATTTTTTCTGTTAGACGATTCATTTCAAAGTGCTATTTGTAGACGTTCTAAAATTTTTAGTAAAATATACTATCCGAGCACAGACAATATAGCTTACAACTTCGATAAACCAAATCTTATTGCATTGCGTGATTTTCAAAAGAGCTATAAAAATGTGAATATTTCCGTACTGCCTTTGAGTAAGTATATGGCGATGACACCCATGAAGCATAAATGGAGGAATATACCTGTGCCATACTTACCCTTCTATGCAAGAGTTTTTTCCATTTGGCAAAACGCAGGTATCGCCATTGATTTAGCGACTTTTAATTATAAATATCAAAGGCGTCAAGGAATCGATCGAAGAATTTCTACTATTTTACAACAACACAATGACGGTATTAATTCTAAAGAATATACAAATTATTTAAGCTATATAAAGAAAGAAGAGAATGAACTTTTCTCAGTATTTTCTGATTTTATTAGTCAAATATGGAATGATACCCAAGTGTTTTTTAATTCAACACTTCCACTTAACCCATTTAATATAGAAAAGAAGTCTGTTCAAAACACACCACATGTACGTACATATAGAAATAAACGAGACGTTATGACCAAAAATGACACTAGTAATAAGACGGTCGCAGCAGTCGCAAACACAGGTGGTTTAAACAATAGTCATTCTCCAATTGGTTATATTGGCATAATGAATAATATCAATAAATTAAATAATATGACAAAAATACTGTACAGTACCATGCCAAAAATATATTTCAATAATACGACCGAACGAGTAAACTTTACCGGAATGAATGTCAATTACGAACAAGGAGCAAATAACTTTCACAAAATGGCAAAAAATATTTCAATAGTACCTCAAGTTGTTTTTATGTATGATATCTTATTAGTTGCCGATAGTATTGGACCCACATACATGACTGATGAGCAAGTGAATAAATCTATTCGATCTGATCCTCATAATGAAGTTAAAAGTAAAGTAATTAATGATGATCAATCTTATATTCTCTCTATTGATTCAGAAGGTACTTTTATAGCAGCTACGTCCCGTCTCCATCCATTTTTAGGACATTTACTTTCTGTTGCATGTCAAAGAATGCACCCTAAATTTGCTATTCAAAATACATTAATAACGCAATGTGCTGGTACATTTAGAAATGACGTGTATTGCAATAATATTTATTTATTGTAATTCTTTATATATTTGTAAAGTTTCTTAAATATAAGATCTGTAAATTAATTGTTTCCGTATTACGTATTTTAGCATATTATAATACTTAGTTTGTTGTATGTAATTATATTTCCAAATTACTAAATATACATTTTTTATTTCACACCATTTTACGATAGATATTTATATTTGTTAATCTTAACAGTCTTTTGAAAAAAAAATAAAAGTATAAGTATACCTATAATGTCAATCGAAGCCATTTATTTTTAATTCTTTGTCGCAAAAAGTAATAGAAATCGGCGCTACTTTTCTTCTTAGTGTAAGTTTAGGATCAAATTAAGTATGTATATATATATTAGGTAACAGACTAGTAAAACTTGGTAGAACGTGGTGAGCAGATTTTTCTACGTTTGAATATCTCTACTAAATTATTTCCCGACAGATGAATGTTTCAGACTACCTTAATAGTAGGTCGAATATTTATTTAATGTGGTATTACTGAAATGCCTTTAGTCTCAATAGTCCTGATCCACTTATATATTTTGCCCCTGGATCTAGGTATATATATTTCAGTAATACTTCTAGTATTTGACAGAGTCGGTATTTATTTTCCCATTGAAAACAATCTGTATTGTCAAATCTGTCATGTAGGGAGTATCTGTTAGTATGGTTCACCCGCCTGCGTTAACGGTTTACATTCGCGGGGCTCCAGCGGAGGATGATAGGATGAGTATGTCACGTCAGTGGTAAATTTACCACAATCACCACATTATTTGAAATTCTCCAGGAATTTACCACGTTGGTTTCTAGGAGGAACCGCGTGGAGGTCAATCTAACATGGTCTATTGCTAGCAATGGGGTCATCCCCCGCCCCCTTTGTTTTATATTTAATGTGCAGCACGCGCCTCCGCTAACAATATATGTTGGTGTGGCACCATTGAAGGATGATAATGATATGAAGTGAAGCTAGTTTGCCCATTGTGGTTAATACACCAGACTCGTCACATAACTACTAGTGCTTGTTTGCTATTCCAGTGACATTCACAGTGACAAAGGAAAATAATTTATAAAATGTAGGTAATGGTTCTGCATGAAAAAAAAACATAACTGGCTGAATATAGTAACGTCATTGGTATAAATAAAAGTGAAGGATTGTCAATTTTTATAACTAATATATCTCCCGATTGATATTTATTACCATGACATAGTTACCTACATTTTATTAATTATATCATCCAATCTGCAAATTCGAGTGATACTCATGGATTATATATGGTAAAATAACTTCGATTTACATATGCAATTATTTAATATTATGAAGAAATTTTAAACGTGGAAAATGGAAGATGACATTAATAATTTGTTAGATCAACTTCGGCTGAAACATGAGAATCACACGAATACGGTTTGTATAACGACTTGTATTTATAGTACATATTATTTAAGTATTATAATGTGTGGCTCGATGGTCTAACTGTTTAGCACAGCGTTTCGCTTCTGATAGTCGCAGTCGCAATTTGTAATTTTATAGTGGTCTGGGTGTTTTCCATGCGTATTATATTTACAAAAAATGTAGTTATATAGTGCTCACAACACAATTTCTGCTTAGCTTGGAACTAGACAGCGCAGTGTGAATTGTCCAGAGGTATTATTATTATTATTTTCACCCAAGTATAAAAAGGAGAATTTCGAAGAGAATATCTCTGCAGATAGATAAGACATATTTTGTAACGAAGGTATTAATTAAATAGTTACCCCTTCATGAAAGGTAAGTAAAGAATCCAGGCACTCCAATAAGGTGGCTCCGGATACTGACATCTCTTAATACTATAGTACTTGGGTAATATATGATATAACATTATCGTTCAAGTATTGTAGGTTGTTCCCTTTATACTAAAAGGAAGAAGTATACATACGTGTTTCTAGGTTTGTTGCCTAGTTTGCTATCAATTAGATATTATATAAAAATCGAAATAAAAATATAGTTTTTCATGCATTATAATACATTTTTTTTTCTAATAAATTACGATATTCCAATCCACTTAATTATACCTACATGTAAACTTAACTTTATTTCTTTTACTTTGAACTTAAAGGAGCACTTTTAATTTAGGATTCAAAGTTACTAGTACTTGTTATTCTAGTAACGTGGTCATATATAGGTAAAGTCGAGGTATTTAATTAGTGTATAATTATTTGCTTTACATCGACAGTTGAATATAGTAAATAATGAGCCCCCGGATGGTGTACGCATGAAACTCCGTGCACTTCTGGTGGCACTTCTCGGCGTGTCCATGTCAGCCTGTGCGTTTACTTCACACCCTGTCGAATTAGAATTGGAAGACGACGATGTGGCACAGAAGCTCAGCAATGTTAGCTTTGCGCGGAGGTATAATGATATTTAATAATATATGTTAACTATTACAATAATTTGTGTTGAATGGCGAAATAGTTCTGTTCGGCTGCTTATTAAATTATGTATACTGAGAAAAATGTAATAATATATGCTGGTGGTCACTATGTTCTCTCTGATTTAATTTAAAGTTAGACCTCTACCAGTAAAGTTATATAGTATAGACTATCTAATCAAGATAAACTCTATGTTCAGTCTTATCAAGTCATAAGCGTGGATACTATGTTTTATATTTGGATGAGGCATCATCAGGCAATGAATAGAATTCGGATATAGCTTGGAAGCTACTTCTGCAAAATAAATAAATAAAATATCTAACCATCCCATCTCAGATAATAGTGGTAAAGGTATCTATATATATATTTTAATGCATTTATGGTTTCCTTTTATTATAGAATTACGAAACCCACTATTCGCCTTGTTATGGGTTACGGCAAACTTAGTGCGTTTGTGACAGCAATATCTTCGTTATTACTCCTTATCGCCGTTATGTCTAAGGTAACGTTAATCATCATCACCAACGGCATTACTTAAAAAAGTAGACATTGTTTTAAGATACCATATAATTATAACATAATACGTAAAGAATATCAACATCTGTAATTTGATTGCTCAAACGTACAGTTGACAAAAAATTGAAACTTGTTGTTGACCTCATTAATATAAGTACGATGTGTAGTTACAAACTTTCTTTAAAAATATATTATTTATCTATACAGACACATCTTGTTAACTTTTTTATTATAACAACTATGTAAGACTAAAATAGTATTTTAAATACAGGGCTAGTCATAAAGGGTAAAATTTCCCGAAGAATAAAAGTGGAACATAGAAAATATCTTAAAATTCATACCTACACAATATGAGCGGTCGCTCGATTAATTTACTTTTAAAACAGTTAATAATTATAATTGGTAAATATTTAAAATTCAATTTGTTTCTTGGTGAAACCAATTTGTACCTATGTGAATGATAATGAAATGGTGCACCTTGTCTGTACTAAGCTGGCAGGAAACCAGTGGAGAATAAGATGACCATAAGGTCAGGTCAGTTACCCCATAGTAGCAAATTCTCGAAGAAATTCATTAATAATTTCCAACGCGTGGAGATCAACCTGATATGGTATATTATTAGTCCACAGTAACTACTAACAGGGGGAAAGGGGATCGTGGGGAAACCATCGTGATAAATTTGTCACGATGGGCTAACCGATCTGATGGTAAACAGCAATCGTGGTGGAGGCGCGGGGCCCGTTGGTTGGCAGCACCGGCACTATTAGTGGCAGCATTGGAAGCGGCTTCCGATGCGGGCGATGCTATGCTAGCTGCCGCTCTTCGCAGCTCTACAGAACCTGTTATAGTTGCTGCACAAACCATTGCTGCAGCCATTCTTGTAACTGTAGAGATACTTGTCTGGTAATTAACATAAAGTAATACCTACCGTCACGTATAGGGTGATATTATCGACATTATGCTAAAAACAGCAGTTAGTTAACATGCGCGCTGGGTATATTTTAATTAAACGTGACAAGGGGTGAACCTAACGCTGTCTCTCGGTGAAATTTTTGTTATCGGCGTTTCCTTAACCGGAGAATCATTCAGAAATATAAATTAACACAGGTTTCTTTTATCAGCCAGACTTTTATTCACGACCTTTTGGAATGTGGGGTAGTAGAACATTGCGTCAAGTCCTTTAAATTGCAAAAAGGGCACGGATTAGCGAAGAGTGCACCAACAACCAAAAGACGTCGGCACGGGCTGTTCGACTCTTGTACGAGTATGTATAATCTTGTGAAATTATATATTTTTGCAGGTATTTCATAGCAAAATTTTTCGAATCAAATCCAGCGCCGTCGTCGGATGAATGTGAAAAAGAAAATTTAATGAAAACTTTATCGCAATAGTAATCAATAAAAATACTATTAACTTTTATGGTTGTATATATTTAAAAAAATACATTATAAAACTAATGATATTGATTACAAACAATAAAATACTTATACATGATATTATTTATAAATTGTGCGGCACTTAATTGTAATATTAAGTGGTGCATTTATATTACAGTCGATAAATTACCAACAAGTGTATATCTCATCAGCACACACCCCTCCCCCTCCACAAGTTATCATACCATGATCGTAATTTTTTTAAACTTATCCAGCATGAGGATGTTTCAATGTCTTGTGTAATGGTTTTTACTTCTATGCGTATACAATATATAGGGCCTAGTTATACCATTAGGAATACAATTATTGTGACTCGTCCTGTCGTTAAATAAGGATATAAGAGCAACCTTCTTAATTTGGAGATGGGCATTATTTTGGATTGAAGGGTGAGATAAATCGGTGAAATTACAGGATCTTTATCCTGTTAGATATTTTAGTACTACAGAATAGCGACGTATGAATGGTATCTCGGTCGTCCCCTGATATCGTAATATAAGCATTCGTGTATATAGATGAAGATTATCACTTACCATAAGTGACCCTTTAGCTTGTTTTCCATTCCAAAGTTTCAATTCTACTATTGGTTTGGAAATTTCACAAAGCTTTTACTAAATGTATTCTGTAACCACATAACGAACTACTAAGTTTATTATGTATCTAATAGTTGCTTTGTACAAAAACATTTTTTATACGATCATGATATGATACTGGAATGTACATATATACATGTAGTCCATACTCTCCCCCATTCCATTACCTATTAGATATGCGCTATGACATTTACATAATTATAAAGTTAGTGTAAATAAACAATTGTTAATAAAGATGATTTGTAAATAACGACGCAACACATTTAATGAAATTCGAGTTCAAGAATAAGATAATTTCATGGGTCTCGTCTTTTAACTTTTGTAGTTTTAATTTATTTTTGTATAGGTAAAACGAAAAGACTATATATACGGAGATATATATCAGGAAAGCTATTGACAACAGAATGAATTGTTGTATCAAAAAATAATGTACAATAAAAGGTAGGTACTACAAATTTAAATACAAATTTAGAATTAAAAAAATACATTTTTGATTAGCCAGTTGCAATACCTAACTATATAAATATGATATGGGACGAACGAGATTTGACCAATTTATTATGACAATTGTTATTTAACATATCAAAAATAATCAATAGTTAAATTGTTGCTTATATTACGAGTACATAAGTATAATTGTTACTTACTATTATATTATTAGCTTATTACTATTATAATATTATTGCTGATTTATTACTATAGATATCAAGTATTTACCTACTAAAAGAATATAATTTAAATGAGTTGAGTAGAAAATATTTGTATAAAATGCATATCATTTTTTTACAGTCTTAATGCGGTATGAACAAGTAAATATAGTATTTTTGTATATATTACATGTTTTGCAGCCATTAGACCGATAGACAATTGTAAACTCTGCCTTTTATTATTGAACAGACATCTACTTTCAATAATTTAATCGTATTTACTAGTCTGATTGTAAAAACAACATATTAAGAGTCTAATACTTTTTACTGAAGACAGGAGACGATACTTGAATTTTAAAACTAAGATATAATTACATAACTTATATATGTATAGTATTAATTAAAATTTGTAATAAAAAAGAGCTGATATAAAAATGGCAATGTTTAAAAGACAGGCACAATACATAAGATTCTATCTATTCTATATTAATGATTTTATAATATCTAGAAGATATTTAATAATTATTGGTATTTTTAACATTATTATGTATGCTCCAATCAGATTATATTTGTATAAGGTTTTATATAATTATTATTATTAAAGTTTATATATAACTATGTCTGTAAAAGGTATAATTAATGTATAGAATTTAATGTTGTACCTACGATTTAAAAATTTGCATATGAAAAACAATTAATTAGGAGACGATGCACCATGCAAATAAATGATTTTATTTCATTTAGCGGAGTAGAGTTAAAAAATATTTGGGCGAATAGTACCCTCACAATCTATCCATATATTGGTTCATAACATGCACGTTGTATGTGTAAGGCACTAATAATGTTGGATAATTTAAATCTCACCCAAATACACACATAGTATCTAACTGTAACACCAAGATTAGGCTAATGCGGACTCTAATCTTCTCCATATTTTTGTATGCTTCTGAGACATGGACCTGGAAATCACACGTAAAATCCAAAATAGATGCTTTCGAGATGTGGTGTTGGCGCAAAATGTTAGGAATATCATGGACGGAGCGCCGCACTAATGCATCTGTTTTGGAACAACTGGGTATTAGAACCCGACTCTCTACTGTGTGCTTCCAGCGTCTGCTAACTTTTTTCGGCCACGTGGCCCGCCGAAAACCCGATAATTTGGAAAAAAATATAATGTTAGGCCACGTGGACGGTAGAAGGGGCAGAGGTTGGGCACCTGCACGTTGGACTGATCCTGTACGAGAAGCAGTCAAACAAAATATACAGTCGGCGGTCCATTTAGTACAAGATAGAAATGCCTGGAGAGTATTGGTTGGAAGGAGCATTCCTGGTGGTCACGACCCTCAGTCTTGAGACTGAGAAGAAAATCTAACTGTAAATATAATTATGGAAAGACTTTGAAGATTTTTAAGAAGGGATAGTATAAATGTACTTATCAAAAGTAAAGCAAAAAAAATAGAAGAATACCTAATAATGTCAATATAACATTTATCCATATCAAATAATAGAGAATGAAATACATAAATAATATAAAGGTGCATCATGTACGTTAACGATGTTTCAACGTCGATGAATGTCAACTCTAACTTTTAAAAAAACATATTCCCTCACAGTTTTTACATACTATATGTTCTCGTAACTTTTGCTTACAACGCCACATTATCATCGAATGTTTAATGTCTTTGGCTTTACTAGTACAGATATTTCCTTGATCTTGAGCCATTTCTTCAAAATATATTTCAATTTCTGTCTCATTTAATAGAAAATATGATACTCTAATAATGATATCTTCATCGGGATTTATTAAATTTATATAGTTTATTTCAGCCGGGGTCAAAATTGAAATAATTCTAAAACAAATTTTTATAAATACATCACATTTCTCTTGAGAGAAACTTTCAAGCCATTCCCGAAGCTTTTCAATCGTAACATTTTTGATAAGAATTTTGTGCTGACTTATATTTATTAGCTCACCAACGCGAAGATGCATGAATCGAGCAGAAAATGTTTGACGAAATTTGTGAATATCATCATAATTTTTCGAGTCATTATTCTTTTCGGAAACCATGAACAAGAATATTTTCTTCTTTAAAGACAATATTGTGTCTTTCTTCACACGACCATCCAGCACAAACTCTTTCAATGAAATAACAAAAATGTTATCATTTTTGTAATCACATTTAGGAATTAAGGACTTTAAATAATTGAAAACTTCTAGAACCATTTGGACCTTATAATCATGAATACTATTTGTTTTGGATTTCAATAAGAAAATTTCATCTGGTAGCAATGAAGCTACTAATTCCGCACATACAAGTAGAAATGCATCGTGTACTGTTGCCGTCAGTTGTGATATAATTTCAGCCACGAATTCTTGATCAAGGCTATTAAGGCTGATTATAAAGTTACTTATTCTTATAATTTCTTCTGGACGTATGTTATATAGATTATTACTATTCTCTTCTCGACCTTTTGTAACCCCATTAGCCGAAACATTTGAAGGATATATTCTTGTAGGAACATTTTTTGTAGTCACGTTTGCTGGGCCATATTCTGAAAATACCTGATTCCGTCCAGCTTTACCTAACCCATACATATCTGACAGATTAATTTTATGTTGGTTATTTATTAATGGATTGCCATCTGGAGCTAATGATATCCTTAATTTATTTTTATTTAGATCTTTATTAATTCTCGATATTTTTGCAAAAAAGTCATCCTTATTTTCAATATTTTTTAGTGCTTTTATAACATCGGAATTACCCTGGATAGAGCCTTTTACTCGGCGAGTTTCAGCTGTGACCTTGTCGAACATTTTTCTGAAATATTATAATTATTTTAGTTCACTATACAGAGCGGATGAGACAAATAAAAACTGATAAACCAAATCGCACACTGAACGGTAGATCCAAAAGGGTACAGCATGTAGAAAGCAAATAAATAAATATTTATGATCTAAAAAGGTATTTATTATCTTTATGGTATTCATCGTTGCCTACAAAAAAAATTAACACGAATTAAAGTAATTTGAATTTCTTTAGTTAAGATCAGACAGCGTAACTAATGTGTGGAATATTTGTAATGATTTTCCTAAATTCTTACATGGTACATATGATATAATAATAATAATAATAATATAATAATCTTTATTTGTCTCAAACAAAAACTTTTCACACAATACAACTGTTGCCCATACAATAATATAATTTAAATCTAATGAATGATACAAAACGGCCTATAACTCAGTGAGGGCAGTGAGTCCACCCTCTCTGCTATTCTGTTATAGCCTTTATCAGTAAAATAATACAATGTGAGATCAACGACGACGATAGCATATTAAGTTAAGTTCTAACCTACAGCTAACAAAATAAAAAAAATTGACAATAACAAGATTACAAACTAATAAGATTGGACAATAACAAACTTAAATATATATATATATATATAATCTAAACATTATTCAGGATTAGTTACAAAATTAAATAATTTTTATAATGTTTAAAAATGTCTTTATAAACTACTATAATTCATTCCAACATATCAAAATTAAAATTTCTTGAAAAATAAAAATGGTAGTAATATATTTTTAATTATATCTTATTATATTCTATAGGGTCCAGAGTAAATTAGAAACCTATTTAAAGTTTCAAATGATTGCACTTGTTTTTTCTGAAATACAATAAATCTGGGACTGACGGAAAAACTAAATGGCAAATTAAGCGCTTTCTTTTACTTCTTTAGTTTTAACCAATTAAAAATATTATTATTTGTAATCGGTATTAGTGCTAAGCGTACCTGATATTAACAAAAAGGACGGGGATTTTATAACTATTATTATTTGATTAATTATTTACAATTATTTAATCAAATAGTCTCGAGTAAGTAGTGCTTTAAAAGTAATCTAGGCATTTGATAATCAAGGACATAGTTTATTATAAAAGTTGAGTATGGTCTATTCATATCTGTACAAATGTTTATACAAAATACAAGAGTTATCAGTTTTATATTCTTAGTAAGACAGAAAAATTATTTATCTGATTATGATCGCATTAAGATGAAAATTAACATATGATCGGTACATGAAAAATTTGAATGAAAAATATTTTTAAACATCATTAAAGAAATATTAGCCTCAAGTAGTCTTAAATGTGCAGGTGCAAAATGTTACTTGTATTGTGTTCAAGTTATATTACACAAGTATTATAATAAGTTTTCTGTTTAACACTTTTATACAATTATTTTCTATATTCTATTTCTTACATGGAAGTATTTTATTTTAAGGACTTTTATTTTATAATGCAGAGAGAAAATCTCTGCATTATGCTATGCTGAATAAAAGATTATTCTTATTATTATTATTATGCTGTTGCTGCGTGTGTGTTATAAGTGTCATATATGACTAATTTAGAAATCATCTATATCTATCTATATCATGTGTGCATCTATATAAAAAAATATCTTATTCTGTAGGTATTTATATTATCAGATATCTAACTTAAAATTCATAGCCCTGACACTGTTATCTGATTGAACAGAGATTAAGTGCGTAGCGGTTTTTATGTCGATTATCGCATGCCTAATCCTTGTTAATGTAAATCTAATTAAAATAATATTTTTTTAAAAGAGCAACACACATTTCCTGCTCTGTCTTCTTGTGATGAGTCTACATTCTGAATGAGCGATAGAATAAAAAAATGTGACTATTCAAAAGTGGTTATATTAAGTTTATTCGAATAAAGATTATTTCTATTTTCTATTAGATATTTGTAGGGTGCTATAGATAATTTTGGCAAACCATCTGTTTCATACTGTGGTGTAAGTCATATGGGTATGACGCCTGTGGTTGACAATACTATGGGCATATTTTATCTGTGCTATGGGTAAGTACTGCATAATTTTTTTCTTGTTTCCAAATCATTCTTACTTCATCATTAAGTTCCGTATATTTATTTATTTATATATACTTATAGTTATTACGTATACGCCCTTTGGTGGCACGTATTATTATGAAAAACACCATACCTTTTAACATTACTGGAAAGTGAATCTCTGACTTCATTTATTGATTTTGCTTGTGCATCCTGTACAATTTCTTGAGCTGTTTGATTCGACATCACTCCAATTCCCAAAAATAATACCGATGTAGTAAATTGGAATATTTCCAGTCCCGATGGTGATTCATGATATTTATTATACTGTAACAAATATTATATTTAGCAAAAATAAAAAGAAGATAATAAAGTTAAGTTTTATTTACAAAAATTATGGCAACGACAAATTCGTTGTATGTTGCAAGAATTAAGCATGAAGTTTTCACAGAATATCTTCAATATGATCAGGTAGAAACTTGAGGAAAAATCATCAATAATTAATTTTATGAAAATTTATTAATAAATACATTATTCAAATAATAGATGGTGTGTAGGTTCAGTTCAGTTATTATTTTTAGGGCGATAAAATGTACACGAGTTTGTATTGCTTACAATAAAATCTAATTGAATTAAAATCGAAATAAGGCAGTATGACAACATACAGCGAGACGCGATTTTGATACCCTTGTACATTGTATTAATTATACATAAACTATTGTTAACATACCTTGTATATCATTTCACCTAAAGAGTTGGCTACTCCGAGGGCACTAGTTCCAAAGTTCGCATATTTCAATACAGTTACTGCATTCATGAGAATCTGAAATTTAAAAATATAGTTTAAAACATTTATGTATGTCAAGGACTAAGATTTGAAGCTAATAGGTATATATTACTATATTGCGTTCTAATAGAACTTACGAAAAACGCCACTAACACGACTGTCTACCGATACCAATATCGGTACGATTAAAAATTTCTCTAAATTTTAAATGAACGTACCGTCAATACGACTGATGAAAAACAATCTGAGTTTTTCGGATGATATAGAACTTGAATATAATAGAATAAACATATATACAATAGTAACTTATTTAGTAATAATAAAGATATTCGTTGAATAATAAATACATTATTCTAAAATACGTGTCTTATTTGATATCGTTATGAATACATTGCCATTATCTATTAGATTATTAAGGATAATTCCTATTATATACAACAGAATATGGGTTAATTTATTACACGGACTAGTTTGTAGTACTAACCTTCACATTAGTACCTGAAGCAGCAGCCCACGATAAAATTTTACCTGCAGCACTGAAAGATATTCCAGCAGTGGACACCATTATATTAATCCAACAACCTCGTGCCTCTGAATCTGACAGATTGATGCTCTGCAATAGGACAAGTTGTGTAAAATCATCTTAATACAAATCAATTTTATTTAATGTATGTACCTACAACTTAATGGCCATAAACTAACAATATAAATAAAATGAAGCAGGTTTCTCTCACAAAAAGGCTATTATGATGTTTTATTTAATTAAAAAGATTTATTTGAACGTGTAAATAAAACTTTTCAATGAAATACAGTATGTATTACCAAAATTAGTCCAGAAATATCTACTGGTGGAGGTCGAGAGGGAAGCTACATAAACAAGACTATGTATATGTATGTATACTTTATTACACACTTTATCATGATAGCAGTGTTACCAGTCATGCGTTGCCATTCCAGAGGAGTTAATTAATAATTTCACTACCTAATCTGACCCTACAATCGACACACAGATTACAAAACTTGAGTTATGTAGATGGCAGTGGCACCTAGATAATTGACAGATTTTCAATGCAGTAGTTCCACGCAGATGATTTCTGAGTCTGAAACCAGACAACTAAGATCTCATGCCTATTATTCTGTAATTTCACTACCTAATCTGACCCTATAATCAAAACATAGGTTACAAAGCAAGTTGCCTGGAGGCTGAAAAAAAGACAAGAAAAAGACGTAAGACTGGAGTTTTTACGCAGAATACTCTTACAGTACACAACAGGTATGTTGTCTGCGTTATACTTAGTTTTCCTCAATTATGTTATTAAGACATTCAAATATTATTTTAATAAGTTCAATAGTTGTGATTCCATGTATTAATGCTAAGTTTAAAAGTGTAGATTGAAACTTTTATATTTTAAATACATATAGAAACAATAACTATAGATATTTTGTGTGTTTACTTTACCTGATCATGTTTACGTCGATCAACTAAACGTATAGTAGATCTCGCTATGCCGTAAACACCGGTCACTAAGCCTATACCTAGTGCTGTTCCAAGAGCAACGGGTGCTGCAGCCGGTACAATGATGGCTCCAGCTATAGCCACTATACCTCCGATACTTGCTACTGCAAATATTAATATACGAATAATAACCAAAGACAATTGTCCTTTTTTGGACAAAAGGTTTGTAAATTTACACAGAGCAATAGAGTCCCAACCTAAGCAGAACTTGTGTTATGGATATACCTGATAGAAATACTTTAAAACATTTCTTTTTGTAAATAGGAGGAATAGAACCCGCGATCGTCGGATTTAAGGCAGTGGCCACCGAAGCCGTCAAATATGAATGATGAAACGTATATTTCATAACAGATAAGTTAATTTATTGTCTACTTTATATTTATCCAGATTATTTTATCTTCACGGCGCTGCAATATTTACAAGGTAAGAGAATCGAGTTGTTACTTCTACCTATACATGACGAAAACACATGAAAACCTGAAAACCAACATGATAAAAATACACAGAAAAAAACATACAACTTAAAAAGTATAACTTTATTTCGTTCTAATTTCATTATATATCTTTATTTATGACCGTGTGTCTGGAATTTTTAATCTATTATTACCAGAACGTTTGGTCAAATAGTTGATTAGACTTATCTAAATCTAGTGACATCATCAACAGATAATAACACTAATAACAGCTCAGTTTCTTAAATGAAATTTCTTTAAAAAATGCATTTAAAAGCGTAGTCGCCATCTACAGGGAATTCATGGCCACGCCCCAGAATATAAGTGGTTTCGGTTAGTGCGGTTTCTGAGGAGCTTCCTGTCGCGTACACTTCTCGATTGTGAAATGAACTACCTGTCAAGATTTTCTCTAGACACTAGCACAGGGTTTTTCAAGACGGGCATACTAAGGGATCTTAAGGGTCGGCAACGTATAGGCAACACCCGTTTTAGGCGTGACAGGCTGCGGTAACATTATCTATCATCAGGCTATCTATATCAGGCAGGCAACATTATTTATATCAGGTAGCAGGCTGATCATCGTGATATAAAAAAATACAATTGAGTTTCGTGAGCTAGTGGTTACTGCCTCGACTTAAAGAGAGGTCGGAATTCGAATATGGCAGACACTATAATTCGTTATTGTTGGTGCATCAATTTATATATTTCTCACTGTACATACTATACGAAGCTACCACATTGGATTCGAATTTACAAAATAAAATGTCGGAAGGTCAAATTTTGCGCTCATGACATCAGTTGACAATGGCTCTGCCTACCTCGTCTGGGATAACTTTCGGGATAGTAATATTATTAAATATTAGATACTAAATAAATTAGAAACCCTACCTGTACGTAGGTATATATTTAAAAGCTATATCATCATCATCATCTCAGTCCGGAAGACGTCCACTGCTGAACATAGGCCTCCCCCAAAGATCTCCACGACGATCGGTCCTGCCCTGCTCGCATCGCTTACCAGCGATCTTGACCAGATCGGCGGTCCACCTTGCTGGAGGCCTTCCCACGCTGCGTCTTCCAGTCCGTGGTCGCCACTCGAGGACTTTACTGCCCCAACGGCCATCTGTCCTGCGAACTATGTGCCCTGCATTGCCACTTCAGAGTCGCAATTCTTCGGGCTATGTCGGTCACTCTGGTTCTTCTGCGGATCTCCTCATTTCTGATTCGATCACGCAGAGTAACTCCGAGCATAGCCCTCTCCATTGCCCTCTGAGTAACTCTGAGCTTGTTCATGGGGCCCATAGTTAGCGACCACGTCTCTGTGCCGTAAGTCATCACTGGCAACATACATTGGTCGTAGACCTTCGAAATTTGGATTTGGAAATTTGGACGAAAAGATATATCGGAGCTTCCCGAACGCTGCCCATCCGAGTTGGATTCGAAGATTGACCTCTTTCTCGAAATTGAATCTACCTAGCTGGATAGTTTGCCCTATAAGTATCGTCGTGATCGACAATTTCGAGTGTAGAATTATAATATAATAATGTGCAATACCTGTACTAACACCATCTGAAACAGCTAGAACTCGAGCACCTATTCCCAATGCTGGTGAAGGCTTAACGCTTAATTTCACGTCTGGCATACTATCAGGTGTAGCACCCTGTAAACAAAACCATTGATGGCGATTTTCCAATCAATAAAAGCCGTTCTCAGAAATCTATAACGTTAACACATGTATCCATGTTTATTGATCCCGCTGTTCGTTACTATCGGCATAACTATAAACGAATTACCTGTTTTAATTGGTATTATTAATACAAGGATTGTTTAAAAAAAAAAGTAAGAAAAAGACAATTGTAAAATCGTAAAAGTATTTTGTATTACGTATTTTATATGGGAATAACTATTTCTTATAACAGAAAACGTTGTCGTGGATCCATATACAAAACTTAAAAAAAAATTAAAATGAATTGATTATATAAATTATCAATCATAATCAACATTCCTGCATTAATTATCGATTAAATTGGTCATTATTGTAAAATTTAATGTAATTATTAAATTTTACAGCCTGTCAATTTAATCTTCTAGTTTAAAACACTGATTATAGACACTGGATGACCCGGTGAAACTGTTCATATGAAGTAGTAGTACTGAAGTATACCTAATTGTCACTTAGCTATGCCTAATCAAGAATTCTTACCGGTTTACAATATCCTCTGTATTCGCCGGATGCAGGGACAACCATGACACATTTTGGTAGATTATTAGTAGTCAAGTAATCGTTCCAATCTTGATATACCCTAGCATCATGATCTATGAATATTCTACAGCTTTTCTCTAAAAAGTACAAAAAAAATTACTAACATATATACATAAGTACAAATTGTTGTACCTATAATAAATTTGTTAAATTTAAATTAAATTGCGATTATATCTACACTCATTGTACCAGAGGATTTTTATTTGTTTTAGTGTTTTGCGAATAGAGTGTCTCTAGTTCCAAAAAAGTACTTTCCTGTTTCATCATTTGTCTAAAAAGTACTATATTCTATTTTAGCTACTCCAAACTTAAATTACTTGGTAATAATGGAATAGCCATTCGCTAAATAAATAATAATAATATAATAAATAATGGACTGATATAATTTTTTTTATTTTATGAAAACATTTTTATATTTTTAACTTTGCACTCGAAGTATCTTGTTGCCTATTAGGTTTGTCTAATTTTTTCAGTCGTATCGTATCAAAATACAGTCTCACCAATTTCAGCCGCCAAGCAGCTTAATTGTAATAATATGTTTCGATTATAGGCTGCAATTATGCATTGACATAGCATCTTAGTCCTCTGGAACGGCAATGTATGTGCGGTGTTACGGGTGTCACATAATAACATGATGTCCGTAGTTCTGTCCATATATATAGATGACGGTTACCGCTTACCATCTGGTGGACAGTCAGCATGTTTGCCATTCCAGTTACATTAAAAAATAAGTTATTATAAGCAACTTTATATATTGCAAATGTTACGTACCTACTAAGTTCAAAGTAACAGAAGTTCTATAGTCAGAATTCTTTAAAAGAACAGAAGTTCTATAGTCACACTGTACAAATTCAAGTTAAAATCTAACGATATTATTTCAGCAATAACTTACGATTTGTTTTCGTAGAAACGCATTTTCTCAGGGAAAATACGTGAAAAATTAATTTATTTACACCTTCTTTTTTCGTATGTAAATTAACCCAATAACCATCTGGTGTAATTTTATAAAATGGGATCTCTTCACATGGTATAAGGCAGACTACTCGCAGTGTAGATATTATAATGTCGTCACCGTTATGCGAATATTTTGCTGAAAAAAAAATGGAAAATTCTATTTCAAATACAGCTCTAAATTACGGCACTTTGCTTATTTTGCTGTTTCTTTTATCAACTATCTGACCCAAATTCGAAGTAAGTAAATTCTTAACTGTAGTTATTAAAGTACAAAACAGAATTATGTACGGATAAACTATGTATGTATGCATCTACATAGATGCATACACAATTTTAGAGCCTTGTAATGAATTAAAAGCAAATAATAATAAATAAGTTATACATTGTTCACAAATCTTTTTAAAAACAGTCATTATTGCTTCTTCGTCTCTCAATTCGTATCCTTGCAGTTCTAGATTATCGGTGTCCTTTGCTAAATCGCCCGATTTTGTTGGAGGTCCACATAAAGCTATAGCAACTTTCTGCAGGAGGTATTTTCTTTGCTTTTTCTCATACCTGTAATGCGTAGAAAATTAAATTCATAAGACAAATCAGTATATGGGTAATTCCCGACGTTACATAACTTCCGTCCAATATGAGGCGGAAAATTAATTTATAGGGTGCTAATAAATTATATACTTATTAATTATAACTATATTACTTTCTATAGGGCATAGGATTACATACATTTTAATAATGTTATAATTTTGCATAACTATTAAAAATATCCTCAAAAAATTCAAACATTCCGCGTTTTGTGTATAATACAGCTGATGAGACTTCAGACACAGTTTGCTTAGGATTATTTTATCTTTTCGATAAAATAATGCTACCGAAACTAGAAAATTACCTTATTAAAGTATTAATTTATTTTAATGCCTACATATATGTGTGTACTACTACATAAATAACAATAGGGATCTTGATACCAAATTACATGAATCTTAACAGAAACAATATGATGTTTGCCGAGTTCTTAGCTTGTTATTATAAGCCGATTCCCTTGGATAATTGTCGTAGTTAATTGAATTCGTCATTTCATAATGAATAAGAAAGTTAGCTCATGCTAACTTTCTTCATCCCGCGACTTTCCAGTATAGTACTTGCCAGCCTATACTGTTAGCGTAGCCGGATGTACGATGCTCTTAACATCCACAAAAATATTCTTGGTGGTATACTACTACCTACCTTCTACTCGAACGAACACATAGTATAAGGTCATTCGCCACTAGATAGAAACATGTAGAAATTAGCGTTGCAGGGAGTCACAGTATATTTAATAATATCTCTGGACAATTCACAAAATGCTATAACAAAATCATACATATGAATGCAAATACCGTGCGACGAATCTAACCCGCTACTATAGGAAGTAAAGCGGTGTGCTAAACCGCTAGACCACCGAGTCCGTTAATCAGCTGACATATTAATGATAAAGATATGTATTAATTACTTCTTTCGTAAAGGGATCGAGTTAAGGAGATACTTACAATTCCCAATCGGCATCACCCACAGCTTCATAATATTGCTGTTGTATTTCAACGGCTGATAATGGCGGAGGTTGCGGTTCTGCCATCTTGTTGGAACCTGTAGGAAAATAATCAATTAAGACACTGTACCATACCAAATTATATAGTGAACATTACACTATACTTTTGCTTTTGTTTACATAATGTTTTTAAATACTTAAAAACATTAACTTACTTCAGTATTTGCGTTAAAAAGTATTGCTCTTAGACCATAGCTCTATATTTAAGAAAGTAGGTATTATACATTTGAAATTTGGAACTGTTTAGATACTATAATGATGACAGTAAGCTCTACATGAGTATTACCTACCTACCTACTATATAAAAATAATATCCGTCCATTTCACGATACCAAGCTAGGTTTTGTTTTTCGAACTGTTTATTTCTTGTAAGTAGTTTAGCTTTTTTGCTTTATTTCTCTTCAGAGTAATTCTCCTATCGTTATCTACACTAATCACCTAAAGTGAAAGAGTTAAGAAAATACAATTCTGAATTAGAAGGGTTTTTAGTATTATGAAAATTCTGAAAGTAATTCGCAGTAGTCAAGATATAAAAGATCTACAAGCACACCTTGTTAACTTCGAGTCTTATTGCAATAATAACAAATTAGATCTCAATGTATCGAAATGTTTTTACATGTCATTCACTCGATGTCATCAAACATTAAACATGGGCTATACTTTAAAAAATCAGAATATAGCACAAATATCGGAATTTAGAGACCTCGGTGTGATTCACGACAGCAAGCTCTTATTTGATAAACATGTAAATTATATTGTTAGCAGGGCCTCTAAGGCTCTTGGGTTTATCATACGTAGATCAATAAACTTTAACAACATTAAAACCTTAAAAGTATTGTATTGCGCATATGTTCGAAGTCACTTAGAGTACGCATCCCAAATATGGAATCCGCACTAGGAGGTTTATAAATCCCGTATAGAAGCCATCCAGAAAATATTTCTTGCGTACTTGGATTTTAAATGTAAACGACGCTCTGTAGATTACTATGACAGATGTAGAAAGTATCGCTTTCTACACCTGTATATGAGACGCAATATTAACGATATCTGTTATCTTATGAATATTGCGAACGTAAGAATTGATTGCTCGGAGCTGCTATCAAAAATAAACTTAAGAACTAATACACTAAGACTTAGACAAAGAGCCATATTAAGTGTATATAGTCAGGACCAGATACAGAGAGAACACTTTCGTTTTACGAGCATGTAAATCCTTTAACCAAGTACCACATGATTTTGACCTGTTTTGTTCCAGCACTGCCTCAGTTAGGAAACTTATATGTAATCAATTTTTTAACGGTACATAGCCGTACTTTATTTGTGTGTTCTGTGGATACATCGCTACTTGTGGGTATGTTAGTCTTACTTGTACTGTATAACTACAACAGAAACAATGTCACGTGATTACTTCGATTTCTTAAAATTGGATAATGAAAAATTTAATCTAGTAATACTATTGGCGAAGATTATTAATTGGCATAGGACAATTTGATATGACAAGTAACATGTAAAATTACACCGTTAATCTTCCTAAAATAAATAAATATATATATGTACCTACATAAATTTTTATTGTGTTTGTTAAGTCTGTAAATAATTTGAATAATTGAATAATGAATAATTTGAAAAATAAACCTTTATATTGGATAAAGTTGTTTATAAAAAGTAAATTAGTAAATATTGCATCTAGGTTGTATAACAATATTTTACAGTAAGTATCTTTACTACGTCCATCCTATACACAATACATTAATTTTCTTTATTTAAGGCGATGTATTTAGTATAATATGGATAGGATTTATGAGTTTAAATACTACTTGTTTGTTTTGTAGTTCTATTAAAATTCTTTAGTTCCTTGTATAATCATAGATAAGAGAATAATAAAACGTAACGCAATAAATAGAGTTGTAAAAGTAATGACAAATGCAGTATCCGTACGTACTTGTAACTTAAGTAACTAATAGTATTCCTTACAACAGTATTGTTAAGTTACTAAATAATTTTGACAGAAAATCGGATCGATTATTATATTTTTTTTTAGGCCGACATCTTTATTTTTACTACTAATTGTTACATTTTTACGTCCATCGTTATTATTAATATGAAGGAACTAGGTAGGTTACCCACAGTAATTAAGTATATATAGTATAATACTACAATATACTATATTATTACAGTAACAGGTTAGATAACTGTGATTAGTACGTACAAAAACTATTGTCAAAATACTGTACACGAGTTACAAAGTAACTATGGAGTAACTAAGTACAAGAGTACCCAAGTGTTAGGTACATTATTTGATTGAAATAAAACATTAAAACAAGGAATGTATTCTTTATTAGGAATACATTTTTCTTTTAATGTTTTATTTCACTAATAAAGTTGTCGTAGCTTTGTATTCTAAGCTACGACAACTTCTTTATATGCGTAATCGTTACTTTGAACTTAGTAGGTACGTAACATTTGCAACAGCTCTAATAACCAGAGGCAACGGGCCAAATATTAGTCATTCACGTTAAGTCACACTTATTTATAGCCATACAATTATTCAGCATCGTGATCTGACTGAATGCCAATTTCACATTACAAAGTACTTCGCAACTATTATATGTTTAAAATATTTGAAATTAAAAAGTAAAACGGAATCGTTTTGGTGTTTGTCTGTCCGTCCATTTGTCGCAGTGAGTCGCAGATCTAATTTTGAATTTGCAATACCATTGATTTAATATTTGGAATTAAAATCGATATTGTAATATTCCTTTAATTTATTCAAATAAGATTTTTATAATGCGTAGTTTTCGACTTAAGATAAAAATATAAAAACAATATAATAATAAGAGATACCTACCCCAATTCCTGAAGTGAATAATCGCTTACCTTTATCACAGACAAGGTAACATTACATATTTTATTAAGGTTAATATAAAACTTGCCGTAAAATAACAACAATTCTAACTACTATTTTACGTATGTATTACCCAATATACATAAAGAAAAAAAATAATGCGGTCTGAACTTTCGACAAAAAGTACTAATCACATTTTGTTAGTATGCATAATAAAGCAATTTTAAATCGTAATAATCGTATTATATTATCGATGAAATGTATGATTTTAATCGATTATTAATATTAATCTTTAGTGATAGCTTTCCACGGTTTTATTTGGCTACTGACTCCAAAAAGACTACATCCTTACTAATATTATAAATGCGAAAGTAACTCTGTCTGTCTGTCTGTCTGTCTGTCTCGCTTTCACGCCAAAACTACTGAACCGATTTAAATGAAATTTAGTACGCAGATAGTCTAGACACAGAGGAAGGACATAGGCTACTTTTTAATGCGTAAAAAGGGTTGTAAGGGGTTCAAAATGGAAATACAAGGTTATCTTTATGCGGTTGAATCCTTATTCGTCATCTTTTCATTTCACTAGCTAACAACCAATCAACACATCGCGTGCGTTTGCGCCATTCGCCATCTTTTCATTTCACTAGCTAACAACCAATCAACACATCGCGTGCGTTTGCGCCAATAAGGTATCCATCACAGAGAACAAAACCACAGATAACATAATGTAAAACGAAAGATCTTGCCGGAAACATGACGTTGACGTTTAGTGAAAATATTGTTTTTTGACACTTTTTTATGATAAAATCGTATATCGTGTGTATGTGTTTTTTCTTTAAACCTGAAATTGGCCGATTGCGAGATAAATTTGGCGATTTTTTTTATTAATTTATTTTACGGCTCTGGATACAAGCCCAGTTTAGCCCAACTTAAAGTTTTACAATATAAATTACAAAAATTAAAGTCAATGTCCAATGTTAAATAATAATAAATGTCAAATGTTGTTTCCCTGTTCTGACAAACTTAAAAAAAAAAACTTAATAACAATCACAATTTCTTCACATTCTTTAAAGAATGTTGTGGTGTGGCACTATCCGAAATTAAATTATTTACCCATTTTTGTAGGTTATACAGAAATAATGTGTGGGTGTTTATTTAAAAAGCATTAACACAAAATTAATAAAGTATAGGTATTAATAAATATATGGTTGTTGTATCAAAATAGAATTTTCTTATTTTTCACTAAAATAAAAACTAACTGTCTCTTTTATAAAATAAATGACCTTTTCGTTGTGCCATATATTATGGAACTATTTAAATTATTTAGCTGATTGTAAGAAACAAAATGTTGGTTTGTAGATTAATACTGTAAAATTATTATTTGTACGGAAATGATAAAAATATATTTTGTGCTGCGACAAAAACTAATATTATAAATGTGAAAGTAACTCTGTCTGTCTGTCTCGCTTTCACGCCAAAACTCTGAACCGATTTGAATGAAATTTGGTATAACGTAGTCTAGACCCTGAGAATGACATAGGCTACTTTTTAATGCGAAAAAAGGGTTGTAAGGGGTTAAAAGGGGGATGAAAATTGTATGGAAGAATCGTCATTTTTGAAGCTAGAAGCTTGAAACTTATTTTTGAGACTGTTGATTAAATATAAATAAAAATGACATTCAATGTTTGTAAAAAATTACCCTTAAGGGGGTAAAATAAAATAGGGGATGCAAGTTTTTATGTAAATTCGTCATTTTTGAAGCTAGAAGCTTAAAGTTATTGTTGAGACTGTTGATTAAATATAAATATATATGACATTCATTGTTTGTAAAAAAATTACCCTTAAGGGGGTAAAATAAAATAGGGGATACAAGTTTTTATGTAAACACGTTATTTTTGAAGCTAGAAGCTTGCATCTTATTGTTGAGACTGTTGATTAAATATAAATACATATGACATTCATTGTTTTTAAAAAAAAATACCCTTAAGGGGGTAAAATAAAATAGGGGATGCAAGTTTTTATGTAAACACGCCATTTTTGAAGCTAGAAGCCTGAATCTTATTGTTGAGACTGTTGATTAAATATAAATACATATGACATTCATTGTTTGAAAAAAAATACCCTTAAGGGGGTAAAATAAAATAGGGTATGCAAGTTTTTATGTAAAATCGTCATTTTTGAAGCTAGAAGCTTGAAACTTATTTTTGAGGCTGTTGATTAAATATAAATACATATGACATTCATTGTTTGTAAAAAAATTACCCTTAAGGGGGTAAAATAAAATAGGGGATGCAAGTTTTTATGTAAACACGTCATTTTTGAAGGTAGAAGCTTGAATCTTATTGTTGAAACTGTTGATTAAATATAAATACATATGACATTCATTGTTTGTAAAAAAAATACCCTTAAGGGGGTAAAATAAAATAGGGGATGCAAGTTTTTATGTAAAATCGTCATTTTTGAAGCTAGAAGCTTGAAACTTATTTTTGAGGCTGTGGTTTAAATATAAATAAATATGACATTCATTGTTTGTAAAAAAATTACCCTTAAGGGGGTAAAATAAAATAGGGGATGATAGTTATCAAGTAAATTCGTAATTTTTGAAACTAGAACAATGAAACTATTTTCATTGGTTCTTTTGGGGTAGATTTTTAAATACCCACTAATGTTATAACTGTGAAAGTAACTCTGTTTGTCTTTCTGTCAGTCTTACGCTCCAAAACAAAATAAAAATTTAAATGAAATTTGGTACACAGTTAGTTTCGGACAAAGAATATAGGGTACTTTTGAATGTGAAAAAAGGATTGTAAGGGGGTTGCAATGGTACGCTGTATGGAAGAATCGTCATTTTTTAAAACTAGAAGTTTGAGACTCATTTTTAGGCTGTTGTTTAAATATCAATAAATATGACATTCAATGTTTGTAAAATTTTTACTCTTAGGGGGAGGGGGGGTAGTAAAATAAAATAGGGAATGAAAGTTATTGTGGAAATTTGCTGTTGTGTGTTTTATGTGGTTGTGGAAGCTAGAACGATTAAACTTTTTTCTTTGTCTTTTTAGGGTTAGTTTATTAAATACTGATATTATAAATGTGAAAGTAACTTTGTCTGTTTGTCTCGCTTACACGCCAAAAATACTGAACCGATTTAAATTGAAATTTGAAACAGACATAGATAGACTAGATCCTGAGAAAGGACATAGGTTACTTTTTAATGTGAAAAAGGGTTGCAAGAGGATTGAAAGGGTAGATCCAAGGTCATATAGATGTATCGTCATGTTTAATCCTAGAAGCTTGAAATTTATTTTTTAGCCTATTGATTAAATATTTATTTTTACTTTTTATCATTTTTTAAGCTAAAACGATGAAACTTATTTATTTGACTTATTTTGTGTTAATTGAGTTAAATATTTTTTCATTAGATATTTACGCGGACGAAGTCGCGGGTACAGCTAGTAAATAAATAACTTACAAGGTCAAAATCAATTTTAGTATGTTATTCTAAATTGAAACAGACTAATGTTATGATTTGTATAGAATTTTAACATCGCAAACTATATAAAAATATACTAGTAGGGTATAGACAATTTTAACACATGGCGCAGGCCGCCGCGCCACTGCAACTATTTATACATTTTCCTCTATGGCTACTTTTAAACATGTTTTATTCACGACATGCTACACACAAAACATACCTAGTTTGTATACTATAATTTCTTATATACATGTAGTATACGTTCAGGGTTGCCAATCAAAAATTTTTTTACCTATAAAAGCAAAACGTTTCGTGTCTATATATTCAGACTGGTACGTTTGTAATAACATGTCATTTATATTTGTGTAAATAGAACGATCAATAAGTTGATGGTACAGCTGATGCTAATTGGTAACCGTTGTCTATGTACATGGACAACATTACGGACATTTTTTTAACATTGTGTCGCACGTAATACTATTGATGGGTTCGGAAGGATGCCAATACCTATTATTGTGTAATTTTAGAATAAAATTCAATCAAGTTTAGGGTTTAATGAGCAATATATAAAGCAATATATAAAAAATAAAGATTATTAAATACAAAATTCTATAACAAAAATAATGCCCTTGCATGCAAAACGAAACATCACTTAACACAAAATATACAGTACCAGTATGAGAATAATTATGGTTGGCAACCCTGCTAAAGATTATTTACATTTACTAGTGACACACTTTTTTAATATTTTATCGGTATATTATAATTCACTATGACATCACCAAAATGATATGATGAATGATAAATAACATAATTAATTAAAGATTACCATGATCCTAATAATCAATAATGAAACTGTACTAAATTAATTTAATATTTATAATTAAAATACAGTCGTGACAACTCACCGAGTAAATGCGGCGTAGTACGAAAACAAACTGCGATTGGCTGTTGTAGAATGTATCTATACTATAGACAGTATTTCAGAATGTGTAATTATATGGCGGGGACTCACCAAGCATAACCACAAGATGTTGCCAGGTGACAAATAAAATTATTCACCAATGTATTCTTGTATTTCAATTCAGGGTTGCCAACCTTAAAACCTTTTGCTTCATATCATTTTTAACTAATAATATATATAATTTATTTTGTGACATTCTAGAGAACGATAAATTAATCGTAAATAGATAAATGGTTTTTATTAACTGTATTTGTTTTTAGTTGTCCTTCCATAGTGTATTTATTTACATATCTTGTAAATACGAGTTAGGGACTATTCGAAAATAATGTCATATTTTAAAATAGTTTTAAATATGAGATTATCAAATTAACGACTACTATCACAGATAACATAATATTACATACTCTTATCAAGTTTACTAGTATAAAATAACTAAGCGAGGGGTCCAAAATAAGAACAAGTTATTGATGGTTTCTTGTAAGATTTATAGATAGATAAATACATTTTTGTATTTACAGTTGAATATAATAATCCATTAAATTGTGTTCCAGTGCTTTAAATAAAAAGTCTACTAGATACTCTATTTACGTTGTCTGTGGTTAACTGTTCTCATCTCATTGTCGTTGTTGGTTGTCCTGTATCCAAATAACAATTATACGAGTAAATGCTGGGAGTACATAATTAATAAATGATGTAGAAAAGCACTCTACACCCTTAACATTTTTTTTTATGGATTATAATGGAATGGTGCACGTGCCTGCGTTAACGGTTTACGCTGGCGAGGCCGAGTGGAGAATGACAAGATGAGCACAACTTTTGCCCATCGTGAAAATATCAAAGAATTTATTTCTAGGAGAAACCCTGTGGTGATAACCTGACATGTTACATTGCTAGCAATAAGATCATTAGTCCACATTACTAGCAATCCCCTTTCTCGCCTACGGTCGCCAGTTTATGTGTTGGATAATATATTAATAAAATAATAAATTATAACAATCATATATTTTCTTATGTCATTAAATTTTAACTTTTTTTTATTTATTTATTTGTGGCCAGCAATAATTATCATAGTCCACAACATACTCGCCGCCTTTGCAATTGCTTATGTATATTGCAAAACACAAACACACAAAATTGAATATAAACTTAAAGATCTAATTTTTGTGGTATTTTAATAGAACGACCACATCGAGTCTGCTGTGTTTCTAATTGAGGTGAAACAGGATCAGTCTGTATAGGGTTAGGCATTGCACAATTTAAGGGTACCTCCAATGGAAATAAACGTTGTAGTGGTCGAATCTTTTCTCCCATTGCAGTTTTAACTCGTGCTACTCGAACAATGCCGTCTGCTCCTGGAAATACAGCCGTAACTACAGCAAGTGGCCAATCTACACGT